TATTTTGTCATTCGAAATTTGTCACAAAATCACATAAAATTATACATATATTTATAATTAAATTATTAAATACTAACAATATCAAAAGCTAAGTTATTTGTTTTAAAGTAAGTACCTAGGTACCTATTTAAAAGAGGCTTTTAAATTAAAATATTCTTAAATTACAGTCACAAACATTCAAACCATCGTCAATTTGGTCGAAATATTCCATGCTGAGAGCAGTGTTAAGTGTTAAAGAAGATATTTATATTGACAAATTTCCAAAACTTATTGCTTTTTTGAAGAGGAATTCGGTTGGTTACGAGCCTAAAAAGTCTAAGGTTTTGTCCATAAAAGAGATCGGTGATTTTTGGCCACGGCTAGTGATGAAACTTATTTACTTACTAAGGTAAGTTTGCGATAATGATTTTTAAAATATATAGATGGTTTCTTATTCCATTGTATTTGATTTTTAAATTATTAAATACTAACAATATCAAAAGCTAAGTTATTTGGAAAAATAAAAATGAAATGAACAATTTTGTGCATTTTGAAAACTTGCATCTGCAATCGAAACGACTCCTCCATTGGCAGGTAAATTTACTTTCTGATGAGGTGGAGTAAATGCGAACGATGATGTACTTGGTAATACATCCGTGGAAGTGGTCGCGATTTTCTTTTCCCCCATTAGCAGTTTGCAAACTTTCTTCTTTTTCTCAATAGATTCTTCTATGTAACCTTCGGCCACTGTGGACGACCTAAATAATTATTGTTGTTTAGAACAAGATCGGAAAATATTAAAATTTTTACCTCCAACCTCCTAGGCGTTTCAGCGATGTAAAATCCACATCTGCATCTGCAGCAAGAGTAGCAGAACTACGTCGGAAACAATGACCTGTATATTCGTTTGGGTTCGACAACTTTAAAAATGCTGCTACAATCGATGGCATCTTCCCAAATGAATGAATGCCGACTCGTTGCACGGTGCATTTTCCTTTACGATAAGAGATGAAGACATAATCATGTGGTACATTTTTTGGCCTAAGACAAGCATATTTTCTATACAACTCAACTGGATTGACAACGTTCCCTTCGTTCACCACCGGAAACACTCTTTTGATATTAGTTTTTGTATCCGCAAGGGTAACTAAAAGGCAGCTGTTGTCTTTTTCTATGATGTCTTGCACTCGTGAGAGTACAATTCTTCTCTTCTACATGCTCCACAAAGGCCAATGACAAGAGCTACCTAAAAATCAAATACAATGGAATAAGAAACCATCTATATATTTTAAAAATCATTATCGCAAACTTACCTTAGTAAGTAAATAAGTTTCATCACTAGCCGTGGCCAAAAATCACCGATCTCTTTTATGGACAAAACCTTAGACTTTTTAGGCTCGTAACCAACCGAATTCCTCTTCAAAAAGCAATAAGTTTTGGAAATTTGTCAATATAAATATCTTCTTTAACACTTAACACTGCTCTCAGCATGGAATATTTCGACCAAATTGACGATGGTTTGAATGTTTGTGACTGTAATTTAAGAATATTTTAATTTAAAAGCCTCTTTTAAATAGGTACCTAGGTACTTACTTTTTCGTGGAAATAATTTAGCAATACATCTTCATTTACAACGAATACGCCATTTTTGTCTTTCCATTCATTAAAAACATCATATTCTTTCTGGTAAATGGCACGAGACTTCACAGGAAGTAAATCCAACACGATTTCTTTGGCCTTATTAGCAATATATTCGGGATTTTGGAACATTTTAAAATTGTTGATGAATTTGTGTGATTTTGTGACAAATTTCGAATGACATGTCAAAATGCGATGAAATAAACAAACTCGTTACTAAGATATGAATTTATAAGCCAACTTTTTCAAACATTATAATTTCAAATATGGAAAATTTGCAAATATGCGTTCTAAAAAACTGTAAAAAGCGTATGACAAAAAATAGTGTATGTAACACGTACCTAAATTATGTTTTTTAGGACTCATCTACTATTTCGGACTCGGCTAACGCCTCGTCCGCAAACAGTAATGATTCGTCCTAAAAAACATCATTTTAGGTACTAGTTACATAAATAGCTATTACTATGAGAGATGCAGAATTTTATAACAATTTAAAATATATTTAATCAACATCAACACATTTAAATTATATCTAATAACAATAAAAATAAATAGCAAACCAAGACATGAGATTTTGCTACAGGTGTGACATATCGACCGTCTTCTGTTATGGACAGACGGGGCAGTTTTTGAACATTTCTCGCTGAATTCATTAACTCAGTGGGGATGAAAGGTACCCTCTCATAACTGCTAAGTATTTATAATTCTTGTCTAGATTATACGGAAGAATAAGTAACCTATATTCTTCCGCAAATATATCCATAGAATTCGATCCATGAGCACTAAGTCAGGCGGCCTCGACGGCCAACGGCTGGGATCTTGGTTAGCTATTCAATTATTCTTGAAATTTGCTGCAAAAATTTGCTGATAACTTCAGCGTTCAGAGGCGGTGCGACGTCTTGCAGGAAAAATATGTTTTCGAGTTCCATTAAGGGCATATCATCAATAAGGGGTCCAAAGCCTACTAGCTAAAAGTGGCGAACTTTTAAAAATTCTGTATTTCGAAGGGGATTATAACAAAATATCAAGTGTGCTATCTTTTTGGAAAGGTAATTTTAAATACTTTTCAGTTAATTGAAAATATAGAGGGTGTCCCAAATAAAAAAAAAACAATTTTCCTGTTGATAAGTCTTAAATTATTAATTTTAAAAAAATTATACTTGAGCCATTAAATTCTACGTAAAAAGGTGCTTTGGGAATGTTTTCATAGAAATACAAAATTTTCCATAGCAAAAAAGTTACAGCGATTTGTTAAAAATGACATTGTTGAAAAACACCCCGTAACTCCGAAACGGTAACAGATATTGACGTGCAGTTTTCATCATCATGTTTTTGATGAAAATTGAGCTCCAGACACCGATATTAGTTTTCGTCTATCTCCTATAGAAAAGGGTGTTTCCCTTTAAAAGCGTCGAATTTGACCCACCCTGTACACTTCGCACTAAAAGAGTTTCTAAAAAGAACAGTGTTCCACTACTGTAAGGTCTGCTAGTAAACATTTTTAAGATTAAAGTATCACCACAACACAATTCATCTAAACCAAAAACTCGTAATACAAAATTAAAGTGTCAAAACGACTGACAATGTCAGGTGAGAAATAAAGAAATGTGGCAACTTGATATTTTTTGCAGCAGAGCTGCCACCTGAATCCTCAGCGGGAAATTTAAATTCCAGTCAGTCAGCTTGGCGCCGAATATGTCCATGGTTGGCAACAATGAATTTAAAAATCACGCTCTCGATTACGTAACTAAAAGTTTAAATTGGTATGGAATATATATAAAAATGACGTGTGTATAAACATGTCCAAACGTACTCCATTGCTATTTAATTATTATTAATTAGTGCACAAAACATCCCCCTTGGATGTTGTATAGGAAAAGTGGGATACTAGCCCACTTTTCCGGTACAAACCAAAATAATTAATTTCCACCTAACCGAACATTAATTGATCATTAAACACCCTGTATGTTTTCCTATACAAACCAAAATATACAGGGTGTTCCTTAATTACATGCTAATATTAAAAAAAAAGGTAAAGGAATGATTCTTGGAGCTATTTTAAGAAACAAACTTCATATGAATTCATGTCTTAAACATCTTAACTTTTGAGATACAGGGTGGTAAACTTTCCTAAAAAATATTTTGTTTTATAATAGTAGAGTTTAAGCGTCGATTGAAGAAATAAGAAGATGCGCAACTTTATGGGCGATTTCGTGGGACAAAACCTGTCCGAGATGTAGCTGGCGTTACCGTCAACCTGTCCGAGATTTAGTTTAGCTTTGCGCCGCTGCGCGCTGATAGTCATTTACAGTTTTACAGCGCAGTGGATAAAGAATACTGTACCGTAGTTCTGCTTTCAGTCGACAGAGTGAGTGGTTGCCGTAGACAGTGTTGCCAGAAGTACTGATTAATTCGTAGATTTACGGATTTCTATCAAACAATTTAATATTATACGATTAAACAAAAAACGGCGTCAGAGTTAGGTTGTAATTTTTTTGTTGTTTATTCTATGTTTAACACGAATACATTTTCAATATATAAACGCGGATTTTTCATCCAAAGATATGTTCGTCAAACGTATTACAAATATTACAAATTTTAATATGGCAACACTGTCGCTTTCAATTCCACACCGTCTTCGATATACCTTCGCTGGCCGAATTAGCGTTTTATGCATTTGCCATTTTATGCACATTGAACAATTATTGGTGTCTCCACCGTACAGCGTACAGCACTTGAAACGTAAAGGGAAATCAAATCAGCCTTGTCACAAATTCGCCCATTAGGTTGCGTATCTTCCCAATTCTTTCAATCAACGGTTTAAGACTGATTTTTAAATGCATATAGATATACTACAGCTTAACCTTAAGCTATAGTCTGCCTAACGACAGGATCTCTAATAGTTTATAGAGTCTGTCATTTTACTTCAACAGGCAAATTATATTTTCTGCCATTATTGTAAATCCTGAAATTTTTAATTTGCTTTAAAAAACTAACGAATCATTGTGCATGCTTAATCAACAGTGCGAGTGCTAGGTAGTAAATTGGTGGATCTAAAAATATACTAAATGTGATTGACCTTATCTGTTTAGATAAGTTTAGTCGTCTACATATTAAAAACATACATATTTTTTTGTGAAAATGTCAAGATATTACACGCACACGAATCTAAAGATTAAATAATATCAAATTTAAATCCTATGTGCATATATGATAGATGTTATTAGATTATTGTTTACCTAACCTAACCAACTCATATTGAAGCATAATAATTTTGATTTAACTAGATAATTTTTTTAATAAATAAAACATTAGTCTACTGTAATTGCTGATACGGTGTTCTGATTTTATGTGTATTATTTTAATCTTTTTTTTTTCTTCAGGTCTTCATCAATAATGAATGGCACAAATCAAAGTCAGGCGCCACATTTCAGACAATCAATCCATCAAATGGACAAGTCATTGCAGAAGTACAGCGTGGCTCTCAAGCCGATATTGGTAATTAGAACTCTAGAGTTGATTGAAAGAATTGGGAAGATAGGCAACTTTTTGATTTCCCCTTAAGAGCTGTATGGTGGAGACAACAATCGTTCTGCGGTCAATGCATAAAACACTTATTTTCTCTAATTCGGCCAGCGAAGACATATCGAAGACTACGGATCTGAAAGCGACAGTGTTGCCATATTACAATGTGTAATATCTGTAACAGATTTGACGAAAATATCTTTGAATGAAAAATCCGCGTTATGTATTGAACGTTTATTCGTGTTAAACATAGAATAAATAATAAAAATAATTTTTTTTAGGTACTGAATATGTCGTATGATCGAAAAAAGTCGTTTAGTTGGCTTGGAAATGACGATTATTGACGTTTACCATAACATTTTACATATGAAATAACAGTGATCTTCATTTCCAAGCCAACTCTGACGTCGCTCTTTGTTTAATCATATAATATTATATTAAATTGTTTAATGATAGAAAATCCGTATTATTAACGTACTGTACCCAAAATCCGTAAATCTGTGGATTAATCGGTAGTTTTGGCAACACTGTCTCCGGCAACGACACACTCTGTCGCGCAGCTGCGCTGTAAACGATCAGCGCTCAGCGGCGCAGAGCTTAACTAACTCTCGGAATTCTCGGACAGGCTGACGGCAACGCTAGCTATATCTTGGACAGATTTTGTGCCACGAAATCGCTCATAAGGTTGCGAATTTTTTTATTTCTTCAATCAACGACTCTAGTCCAACCCATAAAATTGTAGAGTTAATACTTTTAGATGATTTTAAAAATTCTATGAAACATTTATTTATATCTTTTTTTGATATTTAAAGTTGAATGTGAATGTCAAAATGTTATTGTTGTTTTTGCTGTTGTTGATTGTTTATTTCTTTTATTTTTAGATATAGCGGTAGACGCTGCAAATGAAGCCTTCCGTCTACATTCACCATGGAGAATCTTAGATGCTTCAGAAAGAGGCAGACTTTTATATAAGTTGTCCGACTTGATTGAAAGAGATGCCGCATATATTGCTGTGAGTAATAATAAATAGTAGTTTACATTTTAGTATTTAGTAGAGCTAAATACTAAAATGTTGAGTAATATCAAATTTTTAGAAGTCTTAAACGGCTTCTGCACTACTCGTTAATTAAGTCGAAAGTGACTGTATTTGCCTTGTTGTAATTTTTCATAAAGAAGAGGTGGCGGATAGGGAAAATAACCGCGGACCAAAATTGGAAAAATTCCTTTACTTTGAAACTAAAAGAACTGCCTACCAACTTTTTATTAACATATGGGCGGCAATACGTGCCTCTCGGCTTTTTTTATTCTCGCCTAATTTAGTATTTTTGTATCTTTCCTAACTCAAGCGAACAATTTCTTTCGTTCTAAGTAGTTCTTTAAAAAAGTTTCAAATATATTTTCCTGTGAAATAAAGTGGGTAAAACTTATCCATCATTTTTAAAATTTACCTGAGATTTTTTATGTTCAGGTCGGCGATGCAACAGACTGTATAGAATGTAAATACATAATCAATTGAGTAACAATCCCAAATTATGTGCGGATTTTGAATTTTAGAATTGCCTATTTTAACAAAAAAATGCTCAAAGAAAAAAGTAATAAATATAAATAATATAGAATTTTTATTGAGCAGTAGTTACCAGGGTTGGAAAAAATCATGATTTTTTTAAAAAAATAAAAAAAAAATCAGATTTTTTTAATTTAAATCAGATTTTTTTTTATATAAATCAGATATTTATGGATTTTAATTCAAAATAATATTTAAATCAGATTTCCAAATGACTAGGACTTATTCCCAATTAAAGTTCTATCCTAAATGGCTAAATCTATACCCCGATACCGATAACATTAACAATTCTATGGGGCGTGTGATTTTTCCACATCGGTCACCAATATATTCCGCAAAAAAGTCGTTCGTTTCAGATCAAAAGGATTTTTTTTTCAAACGTCTCAAAAATATTAATTTTTGTCATTTTAACGCCTAGGCGTAAAAGTAAAGCACTGTTTCGCCTATGCACAAAAGTACAAAAATATATTATTAAACTGATATTAAGTGTCAAATTCAACGAGTGTTCAAATTGTTGCTCGATTACTGTTTATATTATTTGCAATGTTTGAAATTGATTAAGAAATTATTTGTAATGTTTAGAAAAAATAGTATGTTCTATTCGGAGTAAAAATGTACTTTTTGTAGTGGTACTTTTTACAGTGGTCCTTCAAAGGTACAAAGGTACATCGTCAAAAAAAGTATAATTTTTACTCCTAATAAAACAATACACTATTGTTCGGAAAAAGTCTTAAGTCGAGAATGAAATTAGTATGTATTATCTAATGTCAAAGTGTAAAGTACTTACTGCAGATCAAAATGTCGGTAGGAATTTGGAAACATACAATCGTTTCAAAAAAAATATAAAACAAAATATTTTCTGACAACGATTATAGATTCTCGGGAACGAAGATATAGTCTCTATATTAGAAGAACATAGTTCTGCACTAGACTAGCGAATGATATATATTGGAATTTTTGTCACTTATAGGTACATAAATTTTAAAATAAATCCCTGCGTTTAGCGGTATAATGGATTCACACGAAATTAGTTCAAAAATCTGCCCAACAATTAAATTGATGAATAGCTATTTTTATATAGTTTTATAAAATTTACAATTATTATTTTTCGATTTATTATCTGTTATAGAAATATTTTTTATAGTTTTCTGGGACACATTTTTATAACTTTGACAGTTAATTTTTATTATTTATTTTAAAGTTTCAATAAAATTATCTTTTTTTTAAATTTAAATCACATGATTAAAATTAAAAAAATCACTTGATTTAACTCATGCCAACTCTGGTAGTTACACAGATTATGTATAGTACCAAGAAGATTATAGTTCGTACAAGGACTATTTCTTTTTTTTTATATTTTTGTATTTGTTAGTACCATTGAATTTTTATCATTTTTTTATTCAAACATTACGAAAATATAACATTTTAAGTTAAACATTCTATGGGTTTATTTGTACTGCTCTTATATTTCGAAAAGACTATAATTTCACAGATAATGCACTCATATCTTGTTATCGCGTTGTTTCTCAATACTAGATGATATAATAAATTGCTACCATACGGTGTTTATGCATGTCGATCTACAAGGTGGAGCTTGTTTGTATATTTTAAAGTATTTAATTTATATTGTAATTATCGTTAGTATTTTAATTTTTAACAATTACTTTTGTTCATATGATTTTTCTAAATGCTGCTACAATGTGTCTAATAAAACTTAGCGGGATAATAAAAAAGTTAAGCAAAATAAAAAAAAAGATCCATACATCTTTAACATACAAATATTTTAATATGGGCCATACCATATAACGCAACCTCTACCTCAGCTCGCATTATTTGTTTCTACTACTTGGGTATTTTTTCGAGCCAAACTGTTACTATTCACGTTCACGATGTCAAATGTCAAAACAAACAAAAATTACGTGAGAGGATTATAGAAAATATTTTTAAAAAATAAATAGATTGTGTGTTATAAACTCATTTATAACGTATACTAAATATATCTTTACAACATTTTAAAATAAAGATTTTAATGTTAAATTGTCGTTTTTTAAGAAAATATTTTAAAACGTATGTATTTTAGATATCATTATCATCCACACAATAGACCGATTTTTTTTCTGTTAGGCCACTTTTTAGCTCATAATCTTCGTTTTTAGGGTTCCGTACCCAAAGGGTAAAAACGGGAGCCCTATTACTAAGATTCCCTGTCCGTCCGTCTGTCCATCCGTCTGTCACAAAGGTCTATCTTATGAACAGTTATAGCTATATAGACAGTTGAAATTTTTACAGATAATGTATAGTAAACGCCACGAATGTTTGGGAGTGATTCATCGGTCGCTACCATGTGAACTAATCTGTTCAAGGTCACATAAAACTTAATTCCAGTGCCGTGGTGTTTCAAGTCATCTAATAATCAATATATAATCTGTTGTAATTTGTTGTTTTAACTGTCAAAGTCTTGTCAAAACATATATTTGGTTATAAATATAAAATGGAATGCCCCATTGGTCGCACTGCAAGCACACCAATGGACTGACGCACAAAAACGAATCAATCAAAGAAACGCTATATAGTATCGTCTTTATCAATCACGCTAACATTTTAGAATAAGTAGGAGGAGCGCAGGTAGATGATTAGACTGGGCGTTTAAAAACCTATGTCTGCGGTAAAAATTTACGTTTTAAAGTAAAAATGATAGCGCGCGTGTCGATTCTAACTTCATCAAGCGATGAATCACTCCCAAACATTCGTGGCGTTTACTATATCTATGTTGCCGCTATAAGAACAAATACTAAAAACAGAATTAAATAAATGTTTATAAACAAAAAGGACTTTCACTAAACATTATCTTTTAAGTAAGAATTTTACATAGAATCTTTCAAGTCCTCTGTGGCCGCGTGGTTAAAGCGTTAGGACTTTACGCTGCTATGACGTTGGATCCGTAATAAGGCAGGTTCGAATCCTAGTCAAGGCGACTTTTTTTAATAGTTTTTTTATAATTTTTACATATTTATTATTGATTAATACAATTTTTAGTAATGTGTTTCTTCATTTTGTTTAAAATACTTATACGCGCATTCAAAATTTCAGCTAAATCGGAAAAAAAGTTTATAATAATATAGTGTCTAATGTTGTATAGATAATGAATGGTACGGAACCCTTCGTGCGCGAGCCCGACTCGCATTTGACCAATTTTTTTCTTGTTATAATAAGAGGTAATGATAAAATGAGAGCAAGACCGATTTTTTTTGTAAAATAGAAGCTATATGTATGTTTATATTATATGGTTTCCAATTTTCGGGATCGGGATACCGTTTTGAAATCCCGGGATTAGAACCTATTATCCCGAGATTCCCAAATTGACTATCAGAATGATAAATTTAATTTAACAAAATACTTAATGAAATTGAAAATAAAAGAAAATGAGAAAAGAGCTTTATTAAAATAGGCAAAACAAAGTAACATTCATATTTAATGATTAAAAAAAAAATTCAATTCTAGTTGAAAAAAAAATATAGCAAACTCGGAAATATAACCTTTAGATATTGACGTTCTCCTTAGAAAAAAAAGTGTGTGGAGGCAATATTCAAACCAAGTTGGACACAACTTTTCCCAAAAAAAGATGAGAATAAAAATTTCTGGTTGCGATAGGTCAAGCTAGTTTTACTAGAGTGAATATCAGAATTTTTTTTTACCTCTTATTATTTTCTCCTAAAATACATGTAAATTTACCTATCCTATGCATAGATCTTTTTTGTTGGGACATATCCTTGACATGTTTACTTAATATTATGCATTAAACGTATCGGTGGTTCCATTATCTACTTTATGTGTATTTTCCCAAATTATCCTGTTCGTTTGTGGATATTTTAGACAATATAAATATTAGATAAAATATTATCGTTGATATTGATGTGAAGGGTCAAAAAATACACCGTGTCATTATCTACAAACGGTTCATTTATTTTATTTATTAATAAATTAATATCTTATTGCCACACAATTAGTTTGCTTGCTTCTTAGTTTAATAAAAGCCTTAAAAGTATAAAAGGATACTTGTAAACTAGTTTTCGTTAAACTACATAATTTGATTTTCGGAATCTATCTCGGAGTCTATTAATAAATTATAATCTATTATTAAATTTAATGTACAAAATATAACTCTTTATAACCGACGTATTTGAATTAATGGATTTTTTACATGCCTGAGCGTTTTTTTTGTTATTTTTCAAAAAATATTTTGTGTTCAAAATAGAATACCATGGAATATACATAATAACATATTGTAACTGAATGTTATATTTTAACCTTGGGCTAATAATATATCATTGAACTAATTATATATTGTTTTTGTTTAAAAATATGACCATAGGAACACAAAAATAGGAGACATGATATGTTGGCTTGCTTGGTGAAGATTCAACATACAAAACATATCAACTTAATTTCCAATAATTTTATATTTATTAAATACAGTACAGGGTGTCCCATTTTAGTTGAAATCATAGAGTATCTCCGATATTAGTAAAGATAGGAGGATGCGGTTTGTACAAACCTGTCTCACCTTTTTGTTAAACGGTAGAATCTGTAAACAAAATTTTCATAGCCCTCTTCGTTTCTGAGCTACAAGTTTCCCTATATATAAAGAATTTATTAGTGGCGCCCAAAATAAAAAAAAGTGACAGATAGCAGTATACTTTTAATAATTTTTTAGTTTCTTTTATTATCAATCATGGCCTACTAATAAAATTATCATTTAATAAAAACTTAATATTGTAGTAAATAAATATAGAGTAATATATATTTTTGAGAAGCTTATGGCAAGTCAGATAATATAATTTATAAATATATGGCAAACATAACTTTAGTTCATATCTTCAAATACATATATTCTTTTTGAAGAATAACAGACTACGCCACTGTATTAAGCAAAACCGTATTAACGTAAAAAGTTCTATAATAAACAGTTTTCACCTTCTCGATACCTTTCGCAATAACAGAGATCGGGGGGTGTCCCAAATTGCAAAATTTTCGAAAAGATCCTGTAGCTCAGAAACGAAGAGGGCTATGAAAATTTTGTTTACAGCATCTTCTGCAAAATAAAACACTAAATAACCACAATACACCAAAACACTTTTATTTTTACACTGGATGCGCGTTTCGCTAACCATGTTAGCGTCATCAGCAGATGATTAAAAACTTCCAGTGTAAAAGTAAAAGTGTTTTGGTGTATTGTGGCAATTTAGTGTTTTATTTTGCTGTTGTGACATCAAAGGTTCCAACCTCCAACTGTAATTACAGGATCTTCCGTTTGACAAAAAAGTGGGACAGGTTTGTGCAAATCGCACCCTTCAATGTTCACTAATAACAATGGGACATCCTGTACAATAAAAAAATATGATCAAGAAGTGTGCTTTGTATAGTGATAAAATGAAATAATCAATTCTTCAGGAATCCTTATTGTCTTTAATATTAAAATGGGTATTTTGAATGAATACGTTTTTATTATCATTTGACATTTTATTAAACATAAATTACTCTACGTGAAATTAATATTTTGCCTTAATTTCTTTCAGAGCTTAGAAACTCTGGATAATGGAAAACCATTCAATCAATCCTATCCAGTCGATGTTATTGGATCCATCAAAGTTTTGAGGTATATGGCCGGATGGGCCGACAAAAATCATGGAAAAACTATCCCCATGGACGGAAATTTCTTCGCATACACCAGACACGAACCTGTGGGAGTGTGCGGTCAAATTATCCCGTGGAATTTCCCGTTGCTTATGATGGCGTGGAAAATTGGACCCGCTCTTGCATTAGGTTAGAAATTGTTGCTGTATTGTTCTTTACAAAATCAATTTTCGTTTATGTAAAACTATTTCATTTGGGTGTTATTATACATTTTACATACTCATCTGCACGAAAAACGGGTTTAAAACTAAAGTTTTCATGATAGTGGACCGATTTTGATGAATTTTTAAGCAATTTTTAGCTAAATTATTTGACTTTTTAATATCTCTTTCTAAATTAAAAATGAAAGTTGTCATCTGTCCATTATACGAGGAAAACAAAATGTTGATATTTTGGTGAAAGTTTGAAACACCCTGTGGAGTACGATAACATAGCAAGGAATTTAAAAATCATATTGTCACTAAGGTGTATATTTTCTCGAAAGTTTGTTTTTTTATTCATCTTAATAGCTTTATTTTTTTGGGAGATATTAGCTTTTGAAGAAGACACTAACATTTTTTCGATTTTTTTTACATTAAAGCCATGCCTTTGCTTTTGGTCCTAGTCAACAGACCTATAAAATAGTGTTTATCATTTATGTAATGTCACTGTCTTTAAAAAATCATATTATTATTGTCTGTTGGGCAGTTACTCTAGCAGATATGGTTTTAAGTCCTAAGTAACTTGTTGGAAAAGTATAAACTGGATTAACCATTTTGGAACGAGCAAAGTTTTTTTATGAGGAATGCATTTTTTTCAAAATGTCAATAATAAAAGTTTTTCCTCTTGTAATGACAATTCGGGACATACTGTATAATATGTCTTTTGTGCTATAGTAATATACTTTGTATACACAATTTTATTTGCGCTTTTTTTCACAGGAAACACTGTCGTACTGAAACCAGCTGAGCAAACACCTTTAACTTCCTTGTACGTAGCTCAGTTGGCTAAAGAAGCTGGATTCCCTGCAGGTGTTCTTAATGTCGTTCCTGGTTATGGTGATGCTGGTGCAGCTTTGGTCGCTAACCTCAACGTAAATAAAAAAAAAATAATTTTCTTTTTATTTGAACTTAATATTAATTTATGTTATAGGTCGATAAAATTGCTTTCACCGGATCCACGCAAGTCGGAAAGTTGATCCAACAAAACTCCGGAGTTGGTAATTTGAAACGTGTCACTCTTGAATTGGGTGGTAAGAGTCCTAACATTATCTTAGCTGATGTTGATATTGAAAAGGCTGTAGAGCAGGCTCATCAAGCTGTTTATTTCAATCAAGGTATTGAGTTCATGATAATATAGGCCAGTAAGCGAGGATAAAAATAGGGTATTACCTCCGAATTCTTGATACCCGCACCGATTGACGTGCAATTTTAACAGTGAATAGAGATATATGTAAGAAACAAAAGTTACATAGTAGCGATGTGTGCTTTCACCCTGGGGGTGAATGCTACCCCTTCTCGGGGGTAAAAAATAAATTACCTATTTTTATTACAAAAATCAATAAAGGGATGAATTCTAAGCAAAAAAGTTCTATAACATTTTTTCACAAAATTAATATTTTCCCAGTTATTTAGGATTGAAAATTCTTTATATTTTTCTGCCATTTTTTATAAATAACTCGAAATTCTTGCGTTTTATCGCAAAACTCATTAAAGCAAAATTGAAGCTTTTGGAATAACGAATCGATTCATATTTTGCTGATTACCGTAGGTGTAGTAATAGCCGAGTTATCACTCTGTAAACGTAATTTTTTAATTTTCGAAAGCTAAATAGCAACCTTTTACCGTAAAATAATGGCGAAAGAACACATTTTTCGAAGAAAATGTCTTTTTTTAAAAGGTCTTTTCAAGTTCGTAGCTCAATAACTCGCGGAGTTATGATAAAAATAAAAAGGTCAGCTCATTTTTTCGGAAAAAATAACAAAATCTATGACTAGAGTCATAAAAATAAAAACTATCAATTTGTAGGAAATTACATGAGCTACAAATTAATCTCTATAGTTGAACAGTCTTGAACTCGATCTTCATTTTCACGAGATTTTTGGGTTTTAATGGCTCAAAGAAGGTGGTCCTTACACGCAAGTCAAACTAAAAAAACGTAATATCTACGAAATAAAGATATCTACAGAAAAATTGAAAAAAAAGCAAAAATATTGCAAAAAAGACCTTCAATTTTACTTTTTTTTCCAAATTTAGGCATTCTAAACCGCTCGAACTTGCAGGGTCCATTGTTAGTACCTAACAATAGCCAATTGTACATGTATTACGCTTAGTTTTTCTTTTTATGATTTTAGGCATAGATTTTGTTGTTAATTTTTTTCCAAAATAATGAGGTGACCATTTTATTTTTATCATAACTCCGCGAGTTTTTGAGCTATGAACTTTTTTAAGAAAGCATTTAAAAGATCTTTTCAAGCACTTTAAAACGGTCACATTCATTTTCTTTGAAAAATGTGTTCTTTTGTCATTATTTTACGGTAAAAGGTTGCAATTTAGTTTTCCAAAAATAAAAAATCACCTTTACAGAGTGATAACTCGGCTATTATTACACCTACGGTAATCAACAAACAATGGACCGTTTAGTTATTTTAAAAGCGTCATTTTTTTTATATGAGTTTTGCGATAAAACGCAAGGTTTTCGAGTTATTTATAAAAAATGGCAGAAAAATATGCAGTTTTTAGATGAAAAATCAACATTTTCAATCCCAAATAACTAGGAAAATCTTAATTTTCTGAAAAATGTTATAGAAAATGTTTTGCTTAGAATTCATTCCTTTATTGATTTTTACAATTAAAATGGGTGATTTATTTTTCACCCCCGAAAAGGGGTGCCACTCACACCCAGGGTGAAAACACACATCGCTACTTTGTAACTTTTGTTTCTTACATATATCTCTATTCACTGTTAGCATTTCTCGTCAATCGGTGCAGGTGTTCAGAATTCGGACCCTAAAACCCTCGTCTACTGGCCTAATATTTAAAAAATCTTTTCAGTTTTATGATCTCTTATTTTTTTGTTATAGGACAAGTGTGCTGTGCTGGTACTCGCACCTTTATTGAAGAGTCGATTTACGACGAGTTTGTTGAGAGATCAGTGGAAAGAGCAAAGAAACGTAGAGTTGGAGATCCATTCCATCCAGAAACTGAACAAGGACCTCAGGTAAGCTTTCAAAATTCATCTTATTACTTATTATTGATGCATTTTTATATGTATTTTTAAAATTTAGGTTGATGAAGAGCAAATGAATAAAATTTTGGGATTAATTCAAGAAGGTGTATCGCAGGGAGCTAAACTGGTTCATGGTGGTCAAAGACATGGCAATGAAGGATATTTTGTACAACCGACAGTGTTTGCTGATGTTGAAGATCACCACGTTATAGCCAGAGAAGAGGTATTTATTACTATTTATAAGTTATAAGAATTAAACCAAATAAAATTTTATATGCGATAACTACTAGTTTAGAAACTAAAATTTCGTTGAAATCAACGCAATATACCCCGCTGGCAAGCGGACCTTCGGGTCGGCGTTCACATGTATAGGAGTGAGTCGTTATGGCAATCTAGTAAGACCAGAAATGCTGACTCTTAGTATACAGTGTTGACCAAAAAGATTGCAACGAATTGGAAACAATATTACTTAGTTATCGAAAGAAAGTTTATGTGGACTTTTTGAATAAAAGGACTGAGTCCAATATTATTTATAATAATCATGTATTAGAGGCGGAAACGACATCGTGGCCCTCATATTTGACAGTTTTTTGACGTTTCAATTGATCCATTTGAATTTTATTTGAAATACAAAATGGTTTTGTTCAAAAGTTATATATTTTTTCTTGCATTTTCTCTTTAGCTTACTACTTGTAAAAAATAATACTAAGATACGTCAATTTGACTTTATCTTTTTATGTTTTAGTAGCGCATCTGTTATTTTTGTTATTAAATAGTTATTAGAACTTATCTATTCTTATTAGAAATGAATATTTTTTAACACATTCAAGCGACAAGCCAATTTTATTGAATCGCTGTCGAAAAACGAGTATTTTTTATTGCACCAGGCCATAGCTGACACAAATTGGTGAACTTTCCAGGCCATAGCTGACAGAAGATAATCGGCGGACACCCCACTATGCGCTTTGTAAAGAAGTAGCTGTCACAAGAGCGGACACAGTCCAAAGTCTTTAGAAATATTTTTTTTAGAACTCAAGATATCGGGTGCGTCTGAAAAGTGGCTCACCCCTATAACTATTTTATTTTTTCTAATAAAAAAACTAGATTTGGTATGTTGTATATGAGATAAATTAGGATTGATTGACGTATTCAATTGTTTTTGGTCACTTCCTGTTTCACCGGAAATGACAACAACTTTTGATTTTTAAATGACACCCTCGGTATTTTTTTACTTTATTTGTTAATAAATGACATTCTGAATAAAATTACATATCATATGTCAACTTTTTACATATGGTTTATTTGAAATTGTAAAATGAGGTTCATAACGAAAATTTGATTCGAAATACCAAGTGTATGGTACCAAATTATTCATAAAATGCTTTTTCCAAATATGCTAATAAGCCCCACTTGTTTCATTTGAAAAAATTGAGATATGATTAATACGATTTGGGCATCTTTTAACTGGCCCGGACAAGACACGAAAAATATGACGATCAAATCTATTTTCAAAGGCTCCTTGATTAAATATTAGTGTTTATAACACAGGCATGACACTCTAGATTGATATTTAAAATATGATTTTTTATACGAAAATGCCAAAAGTTGACATGTCATTCTATTCAGAATGTCATTTTCTATCGAATAAAGCAGAAATATACCGAGGGTGCCATTTAAAAATCAATAGTCATTTCCGGTGAAACAGGAAGTGACCAAAAACAACTGAATACGTCAATCAATGCTAATTTATGTCATTTACTAACATACTAAATCTCATTTTTTTATCTGAAAAAATAGAAGATATAGGGGGTGAGCCACTGTTGAGACGCACCCGGTATATAAAAATCTGACTTGGGCCTTTTATAAAAGGACTTAATAAATCTTTTTAATCTTCTTTTGCTATTTAGGAATAAAGATTTAAAATCACAAATGATTTTGAAAAAGACTTAAATTTTAAGTTTTAAGTCAGCTTTTGAAAAATTCAAAAAAAGACAAAGTTTTTTTTTACCTCTGTCAGTTTGCAATTCTGGTTAATATGCTCCCTTCTTAATCTTTTTTTCCAAAATGTGGAACCAATTGAGCATGGCCAATAAAAAAAATATATTTGCATATGTCATGCGTCAACTGTCATAGTGGCAATTTTCAAAAATGTATTTTAAGAAGCTGGGTCAAACGAAAAAATATTGAAAAGCCACATAGAAAAACCTTGTTCAGAATTTGATTTTACATCTATGTGTCATCTGAAAATAAGCTAACTGAGATATGTTTTTACAGATTTTTGGCCCTGTCCAGCAATTGTTGAAATTCAAAAACTTGGATGAACTTATCGTGCGTGCCAATACTACAAACTATGGTCTTGCATCAGCCATTTTCTCCAAAGATATTGATAAGATTAACTATCTGGCTCAGGGTATTAAAGCTGGAACAGTTTGGGTGAATTGCTACAATGTTTTAACTGCACAAACACCATTTGGAGGTAAGTGGCTTTACTCTAATGCAACCTGGTTTTTAGGCATATTGATATAATTTATTTGATTCTTTTCAGGATACAAGGACTCTGGCCATGGAAGAGAAATGGGAGAATATGGATTGAATCAATACACAGAAGTTAAAACTGTTATTGTATCACAGTTGCAAAAGAATTCATAAAAAAACAGACGAGTTTTACACATAAGCAAGAAAATACATATATTATAATTTTTAAACGAGTTTTTTGAATTGTTCGTTGTGCGTATATTGTTAGGCTTACATTTGTATAATAATATTTTTTTACTGTTTTAATATTTAAGTGTTTTATCTGATTTATTTTCTAAACTTATCTGATGTTTTTCAATAAAAGTTGTCAGTCATTTCTGTTTTCTTTTTATTCCTCTGATAACTAACAAAGATTCTAAGTACTTTTTAATTGTAATGTAATGGGTGTAAATAAATTAGTGCAAATTCTAATCACCAGCTCGAAAGTCGTCTTGTACTTTCTATTTTCTATTTAAACAAAATATCTCCCTACATAACCAAATCGACTAAACCGACAAATTTAATAAAAGCGTATTTTTCACGATTAGTTATTTCACCCTGTAAGATTCTGAAGTATAGTTTCAATCTACCCTGTATTATAGGTCTTGAATATTTAGTATTTCGGTGAACTGATCCAGTCTTTGTCACTTTTCGATGACGTATCATCTGTCATTGAATGTTGATATTTTTTGACAACACATTTGTTGTTTTTAAAAGGGTTATTTTTTAAATAAATAGTTTTTTTACTAATTTTAAGCACAAATAATAATTTTAAGTACCTAAAGTATTTTAAACCGATTCCGTTCCTAGTGTTTTTAATATATCAGCGACTACAGCGTTTATAAGGTATTTATTTACATATTTTATTTATCACTTTTCGAGCTATTGTCCAAGAAAGTGAAATTTGGTATAATTTCAGTAAACACAACAATGTCTAAAACGAAAATTCGGTCTGTTTATGGAAGAAATCCACCATGTTCATTACAGAGTAGAATTCAAGAGAGGAAAAATAAAGCAAAGGTGTTAAAATTACTTGAACAAAATAGAAAGTCAGAGAAGCCTGAAGATTTTATTATGTACGAGGATAGGTAAAATTTGTTGTAGCTACATATTGTTCAAAGTAGATAATATATTAATGTTTGTAGCGAGTCTGAAGAGGAGCCAGAATTTATTTTGAAAGATGCGTTGAATACCTCATACAACTTTGTTGATTATGTAAAACATCGTGAAGCTCAGACCTCAAAGCAGTGTTCAATAACTAAAGACTACGGAAATAGACACATATTGACACATGAAATGTTTAAAGAGACTGCTATTAATTTAGGAAATATGAATAAAGTTTTTTGTTCTCAGTGGTTAAGTGATAGACAGGTTGTGTTTGGTACTAAATGCAATAAGGTAACAGACATAGGTTTTTGTTATTATCAATTTGCTATACAAACTAATTTTTAGTTGATGGTTTATGATGTACAAACTCATAAGTTAGATCAAATTCCTTCTTTAGTTAGTAGGAGAGAAAGTTCTAATCATATAGACCAACAACATTGTGGAATTCATACCGTACAGTTAAATCCATCTAAAACCTTATTAGCTACAGGAGCTAGAAATACTTGTGACATTGCTGTTTATAGATTACCTACTTTAGATCCAGTATGTGTTGGAGAGAATGCTCATAAAGATTGGGTAATAACGACACAATTTATTAATTTAAATTGCTTATTAAATAAAATATTATTTAGGTATTTGACATGTGTTGGTTGGACGATGAATTTCTGGTCTCAGGATCGAGAGATACCAAATTGTCTTTATGGAGAATTACAGAAGAAGTACTGGAATCCAAACAGGAAGTGCCAACTTATAAAAGCTTGTCTCCTGTAGCATTAAAAGAATGCAGGAATGCTCAGAAAGTAAGGTCATAGCATATTTTATGAAGATTTTATTGAGAGTTTTTTTTTCAGATTAGGGCTTTGTGTTTTAACAAAGATTATCGTGAAATAGCTGCTTTAAGTTTAAATGGATACATACACATATGGTCAGCTGAAACGTTTAGACAAACTCTATCTAGAAAACTTCCTACTTCACAGGAAAATGTCTGCATGTCTATTCAGGATTCTGGATTATACGCTATTGGATGCAAATCCTACACTTTACTTTTAGATAGTAGAACTTTACAAGTATGCAGAATAAAAATGATATGTTTCAAATAATGAAATAAACGTATTTTTCAGGCTGTCAAAAAAGTATCCTCGAGGTATTCTGGCTGTGGAGTTAGATCTACTAGTTTTCAAGGAGATATATTAACGGTAGGAACAGGATTAGGTATTTTAATGTTTTATGACTTAAGGGCAGGGAAGTACCTAGAAAGTAGTATTAATACATCTCGAACTGTGGTATTAAAAGGAAGCAAAGGATATGTGGTAAGTAACCATAATTTTATATTCAAAGTAAAATAACTAATTTTTATTCTTTGCTGTAGTTTCCTGACGAGGAGTATATGGACAACATTCACAATATTAAATATGTACCAGCAATATATACACATTGTTATGATACAAGCGGTACGAGATTGTTTACAGCGGGTGGACCTCTACCTGCCACTCTAACAGGAAACTATGCAGGATTATGGCAGTAACAAAATTTACTTTTTAGTATATCTAGGGTTTTTAATTCTAAACAGTTATATTTGGAATTTTTATTAGGTGAGATTTTTAAATAGAGGAGATACAATTCAACAATCTACTGTTACATTTTATAATGTAAAAGTTTCAAAGTCTGTATTATTTATTGACTGTATATAGTAGTGCTTTATGATATGAATTATTTCTCTTATATTATAAAAATAATAAGAAAAATCATTTCATTATTCTGATCTGGTATGACTTTGAGGACATGTTTTGTTCTGTGATAGAGTTTTTTTTTAATTTAGTGAAAATTAACTTGAACATATTGTCCCCTATCTCATGTACTGACTCGTATTTTAGTAAATTGATTGAGAGAGAACAGAATAAGAAATTACCTCCATTATGATTGTAATTTTTCTAAGATACATTGAATCTGAATAGTATCACAGTCTTGATGCCCTGATAGCTACAGTAACAGTACTTCTTGAGATAAAAGTTGCGCCCGTAAGCAGGGGCGGATCCAGGATTTGGGAAAGAGGGGCTAGACACAAAATTTTACTTAAAGTACATACTCCGGAGTCGTTTGTGACCAAAGAAATTAATAATATCGTATTACTTGGCTTTACCCAAGAATCCCCATGGATCCGCCACTGCCTGTAGGGAAGTCTGAAGTGGCATTACTATTTTTTTCGATTTTTCAGTTACCCCTTTCCGTGAGATAGGGACAATATGTTTGTTGTTTTTTACACAAAATATATGTTTTTTATAAAAAAAGTATTTATGTACTTTTTTATTTCCTTGGATAACTATGTAAAATAAGATATGATTTCTAAGTTAAATAAACCATTTTTGTTAATTCAACTTGAAAAAGAAATATCTAATTAAACGCAATATTTGTTCTTTTTTCTAATACTAATTTACAGTATTAGAATAGATATAGGCATGTGTCAAATTTATATTGTTATACATTTCATTGTATTTATATTAGTAATACAAGCCCGATATCAGAAGTAGGACTGTCTGATTATTTTTATAATTATATCGTTTTGGTAAGCAATCCTAATTCTATGAAGGTACAAGAAAATTCATATTTACAAAAATTTATTTATTTATATGCTCACAAAATTTCATTTCAACAGAATATCCTTGGAGCCTCCGCGTCGTATGGGAGGATGGGAGGTGCCACACTGTATGTCTATAGGGTGATTCAAGGCGATGACACGTTAGATGTTTATGGAGAACCGGTGATAGAATTTTTTTGAAAATTTTGATTTTTACATAAAGGCGCCTGCTTCATCTTTCTAAAATTTTACAGCATTACAGTGTTGCCGCATCATTCGAAAAGTGGTGGCATCTTCTTTATTTTATATGGAACACCCAGTATATTATTACATTTTTGGAAAGTACCTTTATACCTCATAATTTTTCTATTATACTAACCTGTACCTATCTTTAATAGTTTTTGAAATAAAAAAACGTGTAAAATTGACAAAAAACATGAGCGTGAATAAGCATTGGTAAAAATGAATTGAACAATTTGTTGAAATTTGAGTTATAAGTTAACGAAAGTCGATATAATCGATCTGTCTAAATACACCGATTAGATATACAGAGCAAAAATATTGTTTATTTCCGTTTGTTATAAAATTACTCAAATTTTTGTTTTTTTTTAATTCATCCCTATGTATATTATTCAAAAAATCAGAAATAAAATTGCTTTTCAACGTTATATCAAGTTCCTATATCTAAATCTCCCGGTTTCTTAAGTAGAGATATTCAAAAATTAATAATCCTATTATTATAATTTCATTTCGTTACCATAACAATTTTAGAAATTTAGGACCAAGGACGTACTTTAATTGATACTTATCTTTGAATTAAATACTTATAAAGTTTGAATATTTGTCGTGGTAACGATTTTCTTTAAACGAAACAATTATAATAGAATTATTATTATCTTTTAAATGGCTTTACTGAAGAAACCTGAAGGTTTAGCTATAGAAACATGATATTATTATATCGTTGAAAAGCAATTTTATTTGGGTTTTGATTTTTTAAATAATATACATGGCTTGAATTTAAACTAACAATAATTTGAACGATTTTATAACAAACGGAAATAATTATTTTTTCTGATCTCCATGTATGATATCCAATCAGTCGATTTATTAGACAGATCGAATATGTCGACTTTCCAACATATACACCAAATTTTAGCTTTCAATAAGCCAAATTTATGATTTAACCTTTTTAACCAATGCTTATTCAAGATAATGTTTTTGTCAGTTTTACACGTTTTATTTTTTATCTTGAAAACTATCAGAGATTGGTGTAGGTTAGTATGATTGAAAAATGTTGAGATATGGAAGTAGTTTCGAAAGATATAATAATATACCGGGTGTTCCATTTAAAATAACAAAGATGCTACCACTTTTAGTATGAAGCGACAACACTGTAATGCTGAAAATAATTTAGACAGATGGAGCAGGTGCTTTTAAGCCCCGTTCTCAGAACTTCGTATAGTCTTCAGCGACACGTTAAATGAACCAATGAGGTTTGTAAAAAATTCAAACAGCTGTCAATTTTAAATTTAGTCCAACTCTCATTGGTTCTTTGAAGTGTTAATCAGTGTCTGTGTGCTGGATTTATGCAAAAATCCAGTTCAAGCAATCACCGGTTCTTCATAAAAGTCTAACGTGCCATGGCAATGAATCACCCTGTATACCATAGATGTCATTTTTGTATACCTTTGTAGCGGGTTCATTTCTTGAAAATACTTTAGGGTTTTTCGCCACTAGAAGAAAAATAAATATTTCTTTTTGTAAACACCACTAAGTTGATCCAACAGACACCAAATTATCAGTGGTATTTTTTCTAATGAAACAAATTTGCCGTTTTATTTCGTTTTTTTTATTGGGATTTTACAATATGATCGAAAAAAAAACGGCGTTATCGATGGCTATCAAATGAAGATCGCTGTCATTTTATATGTAAAATTATACGGGGAATGTTACAGATCGTCCTTTTTAAGTCAACTGGATGCTGTTTTTTTTCGATCATACGGTACTTTTAGGTAAATTATTATCTGTGTTTTAAAATGTAGTTGTTATTTAAAATTGGCGCGGAAAGTAGCGAATTAACACAACACTGTCACAAATTACCTATAACAGATGCGAAAGAACACCGAATTACGCGTTCAGGTTTCTGTGACCTTCAGAAAGAGTTCATAGACAATCCGCATCAATGTATAGTTTGGGTTATTATTTGTTTGGGTGAAAATAATCTGCACCAATATGTTATCGAGGCATACAAAAAGGTCCACAGACTTCGAGACATACGAAAGTTCATTTAGCGTGTGTCGCAATTTTCACACCTTAAAAAATTAGTTTTTATAGCTATAGCAACTGCAGCGACTATGAAAAAAGCTGTGTGATTTTCATAGAAAATAAGGCACCTGTAATTCATTTGAGAATGTTATAAATCGCTAAAAGAGGTTTCAAATCTCTTGGATTTCTATTAATATTAAATAAATTTTATTAAAAATTGAACTAAAATTGTTAGTATCATTAAAACAATTCAAATTCAAAAATTGTATCAGTCAAATTCCCTCATTTAAGGTGAATATTAAAGTAAATATAAATATAGCTCATTCTAAGCTCTACTTATCTTTAAGAAAAATTTAAATCATTGTTGCAATTGGGCCTTAATGCCATTTCGAATGAACAATAGTATTAATAATGTAATAATAATAAATTTTATATCATAGTGTGTATTAAAACTACTAAAACACTTTTAAATTGGTATTATATTAACAACTTTTGTTTTTTAATCCAAAAAAAAGTTACCAATTTTCTCAATCAAAATATTTGTGGTCCTGAAAAGGACCTTCGTTTTCCATGTTCGTCAAGGTAGGTAATGGGTAAACGGTAAAAAAACAGGATAATGAAATTTAAAAAATTACAATAATTGTTCAAAAGTGCCTCCCTCTTGCATTAAACAATAACCCAAACGATCATAAAATCCCCTCCTCACATTGGATAACATATCAGGGGTGACAGTGTCAAAGGCATTAAATATTTTCTGCCTTAACTGCTCCAAGTTTTGAATTTCTTCATGGCCGTAAATTTTAGATTTTATGTACCCCCATAAAAAGAAATAATTCACCGAGAAGTCAGGTGAAATTAAACGTCAGTCTAAACAAAACTGTCATTTTTGAAAACTTGTCAAAATTAGGACACACGCTAAATGGACTTGATTTTTCTATGCCTCGAAGTCTGTGGACTTTTCTGTATAATCTCACAGTAATTTAATAGATTGCTCGTCATATTATATCAGCTCGTCGGAGATTAGGAAAAAAAAGATATTTATAGTATAAAAAATTAATTTATTTAACAAAATTTAATTAAAGATGTGACAAAATAGTTACATTTCTATTAGTTCTATCGGACTTTTTTCGACTATATAAATCTTTATTTTTTGTAAACTTTAATGCATAAAATATTTTCAATCTAATAAATAATTTAATGATATAAATAAGAGGAAATTTCTCACATAGGTGGTCAAATTCTATAGTTTTCATTATATCAAACAGCCTCTGAATGTTTTCTTCAGTGCAAAACTCATCAAAATTTAATATAAATAATTTTTCCAGCCTGTAAATAAAATTAACAAATTTTTCCATTTTCATGATCAAAGGCTTTTAAATGGGTAAATAATTTCGAGTTATCCAGAGATTCGGATTCTTTCGCAAATTTTAGACAAATATCACATTGATGTATTTGAAGACCCTTTTTAATGATGTAGTCAAACATAATTAAAGGCATTTTGAGTTGAAAACATTTCTCAGAGGCTGTTTGATATAATGAAAACTCGAGTGAAAACTATAAAATTTGACCACACATGTGAGAAATTTCCTCTTATTTACATCATTAAATGATTTATTAGATTGAAAATATTTGATGTATTAAAGTTTACAAATAAAGATTTATATAGTCGAAAGAAGTCCGATAGAACCAATAGAAAGGTAACTATTTTGTCACATTTTTAATTAAATTTTGTTAAATAAATTAATTTTTTATACTATAAATATCTTTTTTTTTCCTTATAAATAAACACATTGGCATCCCATTTTAAATAAGATATACAAATTACCAAAACTTAGAAATAACAGTTCAAAAGTTCAACAAAAATCCTACACGCGTTTTTAAAAAGAAACATATAACCACGCACTATGTCATTCCAACAAGCGAATACGACACAGCATAGGTTTCCGGACTAAACGACTGGTGTATTTACACCACTCAATAGGCGTGTCGGGTTTGCCGAGCGGTTTCCGATGCAGTCGCTTTCTTTCGCATCTGTTGTAGTTAATTTGTGACACTGTGAATTGTAAGCTCAGACTATTAGTAGCCAAAACTGAGCGCTGTGTTATTTAGTAACGTATACAATGTTATCAAAAAGTTCCATGATCACATATTTATGATTCCAGATTAACAATTCTTCTGGAAAGATCATAACATTTTTTGACATACGTTATAAACACCGTATGATCGAAAAAAAACGGCGTTCACAACCATCCCTTCATTTTCTGATGCCGTTTTTTTCGATCATATGGTATAAGAATGTACATATTTAAAAAAAAACTCAACTACTCATTTCATCGAAAATAATGTTACTATTTATAATTCCATGCTTTTTTCATTTTTTTTTTATAGGTACATATGTACTTTGGTACTTGTATTTTAGTGCAATTTTAGTTTAACTCACCCAGGTTTTAATGATTTCCTTGGTTTAAGTTAACTGCTAGATGTTTTATACAGTACTATAAGTTATAAGTGAGCGTGTTTTTTAAGAGAAAAGAATATTGTTTTGTGAATTTATATCTCTAATTGATACGAAACTAAATACGGGTTTTATTTATATCGTACATAAAAATTTTTTTTTCGTGGGAGAAAAATCTGCAAACCCGAGACCGTAAGTGGTACTGTCGGGATGGTTGAGGTACCTTACCGACTAAAAAAACCTCCACAAACCGCTTTGAGTGTCTCCCCAAGGAGTACTACCTTTCGGCATTACCTCTGGGGGAGGCAGTTTTAGTGTGTTGTTGCAGGTAATTGAGCACTTCAGTGAAAGTTGGACACTAGCGAGTGTGGTAAGTACAGAGCAGTACTAGAGCAGTATGGTAAGTACATTCAAATTATTATTCTTTTTTTTTTACTTTCCAAACCTTCTGGCTTCGTTTTCCTTTGCAGATATCAGCGCTTCCATATATTCCCGGACTGCTTTCCAGTTCTCATTTGACTTAAGCATTGTTGGAATCATTGACTCTCCATTAATTTCTTTCTTTCATAGGTCCACCTTTTGCACTCCAGGATTGTGTGCTCTGCATTGTCGTTATCGTTGTCACCGTAGATGCATTTTGGACTATCGGTAAGTTTCATTTTATATAAATAATTCTTGAAACATCCGTGTCCTGTTATACATTGTGTCATAGCGTAGGTAATTTCTCCATGGCTGCTATCTATCCAGTTTCTTATATGTGGTATAAGTTGTCTTGTTCACTGTGCTTTCCCGTCTATATTGTGTTTCCATCTGTCGCTCCATGTGTTCAGTATTTTTTCTCGGTTATACTCTCGCGATCTATCCGGACACGCCTTCCTCTGCATCCTCTCTTGTATTAGAAGATCTATCGGTATCATGCAACTAATTACTTCTGCCGCATCTGCTGATATAGTGCGGTACCCTCGACATATTCGCAGCACCAATCGCCTTTGAACTGCCCTTAACCCTTCTCTATTCTTCTTCACTTCAACGGACTTTCCCCAGACTTCGGAAGCATACAGAATGGTAGACGTCTGAACGGCGGCTAACATTCTGCGCTTGGTTTCCCCCATAATGGACCAGTTCGGCATAAGCTTTGATAGCAGTATACATTGCCTCTCTGCCTTCGCCGCAACCGTGCGTATGTGCTGAGTGAAATTACCTCCAGCCTGAAACGTTTCTCCCAGGTATTTCACTGTGATTTTAAGCACAATGGCTTTGTACTTTACTAGAATGTCCCGGCCTGATAATTTGAGACCTCCTACGTGTGCAACAGATTCTGTTTTGTGAGGGGCAATTTCCAATCCCACCTCTCCCATCCAGGAACATACCTGGGACGTTGCCTGTTCTGTCATCGCGCTTATTTCCTCTGTGCTTCCAGCCCTAATAATTAAAGCGATGTCACAAGATGTCATCAGCGGAGGCCACTACTTCAGTTCCATAGGGGAATCGAAGCCTGAGAAGTCCGTCATATAGAATATTCCAGAAAAGCGGATCTAGTATGGATCCCTGGGGCACGTCTTTTGTCATTTCCATGTCGTAGTCGGCCACCAAAATCGGTCGATCACTTAAATAACTCTTGATGCATTCACTTAAATACTGGCTAACATTCCAATTTGACGTTCATTTATATATATATATACATTCCATTGAGTTCATTTATTATTACTTTCCAGGATGCTGTGTTGAAAGCATTTTTAACATCTAATGTTATGAGCAGCATCACGTCCCTGTTTGTCAAGCTAATTTCTCTGAGATTTTTAACCATTTTAGTAACCTTGCTAAGTGGATCTACTGTACTCATTCCTTTTCTAAAACCAAAGTGTCTCTTATTCAAACCTCCTTTTTGTTCTATTTCTTCTTCCAATTTCGTCGTTAGGGTCATTTCCAAAAGTTTACCCATAGAATCCAATAAGCATATAGGTCGGTATGAATGTTTATCATCATCCTTTTTTGGCTTTTCCACAAGTACTAATTGAGCACATTTCCATATTTGTGGGAAGTTAGCAGCGTTGATGAGGCCATTAAAGAGGTTAGATATAGTCTGACCAATCAGGAAATAATATAGGTACAATAGAAACAGTTCTTGTTTGTCATTTTAATTCAAAAGTAGATTGTTTTTTCCAAAAATATGGGATGTCAGAGTCGTCCCTTCTCTCGCTGGACAGACTATAATATAATGTTTTTAATTGTTAGACTCGTTGTTAAGGTAACAAAACAATTTGTTAAAAAATGACAATCTTCTTTATTAATACATGAACTTTATATACAGTGATTAATTTAACATTAAGCATACAAACTTACATCTAATAATAACAATTAAGCAACTCCACGACTAAATGCCCAGCTTAATATTAAGTGAACACAAAATAAATAATTCTTATTAAATATCGTTAAATTTGAGGCACACAATTTTCCTTCTCAACGTTGTACTTCTAGTGATACATTGCACTGGGTGATTCTTCACGCAAAGTTGTCTTTAGTGACGTCCAATCTCTTTAACTGAAAAGTGTAGATAATAATTATTAGAGTGGAATACAAGCTACAAGGAAAAAAAGCCAAATATTTTTCAAAATTATTAATGCCAAGAAATTCTGACTACGCCTAGAGGTCTACCGATTTGGTCCTTTTAGAAGTGTGGTCTGGATTTCAACGTATAAAACAGTGATTTAGGCAGCTTAATGGAAAATCAAATGTATTAAAAAGAGAGAAAAATTAAGTTGATATGTTTCTTCTATACGGTATTGCCGAATTTTGCATCAAAAGTTCAAATCGCACAAGTAGGCGTTTATGGAAAATATCGCATCTAGGGTTGGAATCTTATTTTTCACAATTAGTTACTCATTTTACTACAGATGTAATAGATTATATTTAGCTTAGATATACTATCTTCATTTCAGTAGTATACATGAAAGTTTTTAAAATATTATATATTTTTTTTCTACACAAATCTTCCTACAAACGTAAAAACCGGCAACACTGTATGCCGCTTTTGATTTTGTCTCTCTGTCTGCTAACCGGTCATTTATATTATTCTCTGTCTTACACGTTAAAATTCACACTTCTAAAATGACCAAATCGGTATATTGGGGCTAGGTATACTGCGCTGGACAAGTCTTGCTATTGGGTCGGTATTTACATGTGTGAAAGTGAATGGCGTAGGGATCGTAATAAGTCGGAGTGAGAAAAATGCGACGGGGTACTGTTGCGGCGTTGCCACATTTATCGGAAATACAGGTGCACGTTTCCCTGGTTGAAAGACGCTTATTTCTAAAGTTTTTCTTTTCGGAAAGATAACTAGATAAAATCATTAGGTATGTTTCTGAGGATCTGAAATCGAGTTATAAGAATATCGTTATGGTATCTAGGTTAACAGCAAAAAACTGACCTTTATTAATCAGATCTTAATGAGAGTTATTTTTTAATATAGTAGAAAAATCAATGTAGTAAAAACTGGTATTTTGTTACCTGTGCCTGTTTCTAAAATGTGTTAATTGAACATGTTAAAAATAACATTTAATTATTTATTCGTCACTCTTATTTAATAATTAAGTCTTGTAGACGAAGTTTTTCTTTTTTAAATATTTAAACTCTAAATATAGTTATAAAAGTTTTTCACAATCGGTCACTAATTGGCATGAAAAATATTTTTTTACGTTAAAAGATATCTTTTAATTAGGCAAATAACAGTTTTTAAACTAATAAGTTTGTTAAACTGCCATGGACAATAATTCTGAACGTAATTTGAAGGTTGCACGCTAGCTAGCATAATCCGACGATAAGAGTATTGCAGTATTGAAGCAATTCCATTGAAGAAAATGTATAACAGAAAAAATATTCGAAGAAAAGTCAGCATAGTTGGATTGTTGGAACAAAACTCTTACTAAATAAAACCCTTTTACAATAAAATTTTAAGTGCATAACATACATTTGGAGATATGGGTTTAGTTTATCAAAGTTGTTTACAAGTACTCTGATATTCGAATTTTAAGCCGGGTTCAGACGACTCGTATACTTGGCAAATATTTGTTATTGACATACAGGGTTCCCTGTATAACAACCCAGGGTAGTCAACAAAGTTGAAAAGGTGATATTTTGGCCAACTGTATAACAAGCAATTTAAATGAAAGAAAGGAACCTACGTTGTGTTAAATTTTTTTTTACTGTGATTACCTCGGATGTGCACCCGACAGAAGCAACATTTTGGGAAATTTGAGGAGAATAGGTTATGTAAGTGAAACGCTAAATTTGTAAATAGCCCTACTTATTTTATTAAATGAAATGAAAGGAGTACAGTACTCTGACTAGAATTCACGAGTAAAAAAGCACGGCAGAGGAAACCCTGATCACTATTCCAGAGAATCCAACTATGCTGTCCTGAATATTAGATTATGGGATCATCAAGAGAGAACCTAACTCACCCCTATTACTTTTTTTTTTCAGAGAAAAAATCGAGATTGTGAGTATGTTAATATATGACATAAATCAGGATTGATTGACGTATTCAATTAATTGTTTGTGGTCACTTCCTGTTTCACCGGAAATTACTTCAACTTTTGATTTTTAAATAGCACCCTCGGTATTTTACTACTCTACTCGATAGAAAATGACACTCTGAATAGAATGACATATCATATGTCAACTTTTGACATTTTCGCATATCCATTTGAAATTAAAACGTGTGGTTCATATCGATAATTTGACTCGAAATACCCAGTGTGTGGTACCACATTATTTGTAAAAAATGCCTTTTCCAAATATGCTAATGAGCCACTCTCGTTCCTGTTGAAAAAATTTGAGATATGATTAAATATATGATTTGAGAATCTTTTAATCGGCCAGGATAAAACACTAAAAATATTATACGATCAAATCTATTCTAGGTTCCTTGATTAAAAATTAGTGTTTTAACATAGCGATGACACTCTAGATTTAAATTTAAAATACAATTTTGTTTTAAGCGAAAATGTCAAAAGTTGACATATGGTATGTTATTGTATTCAGAGTGTCATTTTCTATCAAATAAAGTTAAAAAACACCGAGGGTACCGTTTAAAAATCAAAAATTGTAGTCACTTCTGGTGAAACAGAAAGTGGCTGAAAAGAATTCAATGCCTCAATCAATCCTAATTTATGTCGTATACAAACATACCAAATCTCGTTGTTTTATCTGAAAAAATAAAAGTTATAGGGGTGAGCCACTTTTGAGACGCACCTGGTATAAGTCAAGAATTTTAAATGCAATAGGAAAAAACTTATTCCTCAAAAAGCTGTCATATTCGAATTTTTGCACTTGTTATGCACTTATACGTATAGAGTTTAGATATTAAATAAATGTTCATGAGTACATAGACTTTTTCATGTCTTAATGTAATTTAGAATCAATCGTATCAGTATATATTTTAGAAATAATTATTTCTAATTTTAATATTGTTTTAATATAGATTGGCTTTGATTTTATAAAATTATTATACAGCTAGGGTGAGTCTTAAATAAGTCCAAATATTTTTAGGGGTCGTATATCTCGATCCCAGAGACACGTCCATTTTTACACGTCTACACGAGGTTTTTTCTCGAAAAAAAAGATGAAAATTTGCAATTTTTTGATATTTTTTTAATTTTTAGTTAAAAAACATAATCTATACTAATATATAAAATCCTTAAGTGACTGACTCAGTGATTAATCACGATCCTGCTCAAACCACTCAACGTAAGAAGCTCAATTTTGGCATTATAGAGTGTAGACGTTCGATAAGAAGGGATTTTTTGAAATTCCAGTTCCATGAGGGTGAAACCACCCCTCAAATATTACAATATTTATTATTTAAAAAACGGTCAAGTTTCCAAAAAAACGCTTGCTTAAACACGTATATTTTATTTTGTTTTTTTACATATTTTAAGATTTTTCAAAAATGTATACAGGGTGGTTTGAAAAATCTGGTCATTGATTAATCACGATCCTGCTTAAAGTGCTTGACGTAAAAAGCTGATTTTTGGAAAACGGATTGACTTTAGGGTCTAGAGGTTCGATAAGAAGGGATTTTTCGAAACTCGAATTCTAAGGGAGTGAAACCACCCCTCAAATATTAGAATATTTTTTATTTAAAAACCGGTGAGTGTTTCGGAAAAACTCTTAAACACGTATATTTTATTTCGTTGTTATACATATTTTAAGATTTTTTAAAAATTTATACAGGGTGTTTCATAAAATATGACCATTGAGTAATCACGATTCTGCTTAAACTGCTTGACGTTTAAAGCTGACTTTTGGCAAACGGATTGACGGTGGGGTGTAGAGGATTGATAAGGAGGGGTTTCTCGATTGTTTTTTCTCTTGCTAACATAAATGTGAAAAAAATTTATCCAGTTTGTATGTTAATGGAAATTCTTGCTTTGCTTTATCATCACCATTACAAATGATTAATTCGACGTGAATGAAGTCGCGGGTACACGCTAGCATCTTCATAATATGGCAACATAGGTATTGTAGTAAAATAAATTTACAAGAACGAAAACCCAGAAAAGATCCAGCTGTTCTCCAAATGTAAGCGAAAAATATTTTTTTTTAAATTTTCAAAGTCAGTAGCGTAGTCAAAGCATTTCTTGACAGAGATAAATGTTAAACAAACGATGGCTTACCAACTATAGTCTGTCCAACGAGTCAGGAAAAATTTCGACAGAAGACATACAAAAAATGACAGAAAAATTACAATATCTGTATCTAAATTAAAACGACAGACAACAAAGGTCACTGTCATGTGTCTTCTCGTTGGGCAGACTTTATTGTTATTGCAAACAAAATAAGTAATTATAGAAAATAAAATAAGTGTGTTAGTACCAGTCACCAGGGGGTTAAAAACGAACAGAAAAAAGACAAAATATATTACTTCTTTTGCTTCGGCAACCGTTCTATACCTTTCCACGATATGTTCGTCTAGTGATGGTGCTTTTAGAACGTTTTGGTAGATCTGGGCCGCTGCTATACCTCCTAAGATTGGCCCTACCCAGTAGATCTAGAAAAGATGGAAATATTGTTTATCTAAAATTATATTCATTATTCCACGAAGACAAACATTAGCGGTCTAAGTTGTCTTCATGGATTTTGAGAAGGTCTTCGATTCGGTAGACCAGTGGAGGCTTCTAGAGACACTAAAGTGAAAATATTGTCATAATTTAGGATATTCTAACAAACCCTTACCCAGTGATCGTTCCATTGTGAAGCTATGAGGGCACTTCCGAAGCTCCTTGCTGGGTTCATGGATGATCCGGTGAAGCCAATAGCGCCTAGATGTCCAACAGCGACAGCAATGCCGATGGCGAGTGGACCAGCAGCTTTAGCTTCAGGCCTACGTAGAAAAAAAGAAAGTTATTTATTATTTCAAACACTAAGGAAGATGATAGATAATGTCATGACTTATGTATAGGTCAACTTGGGTTTATATCAATTTGGAAAAAATCGTGTTCTAGTAGGTAAGCCAATTCGATGTAAACCCAAGGCATTAATAGATATTATTATAATAAACATTATTAATTAAACAATTAAAATCAGGTTGGCGTAACGTGAGAATTCAAGGCGAAGTTCGGCGCAGGTTTCTGCGGTGGAAGTATACGGTGGTAGTTTCTCTCGTTGATGAAGGTATACGGTGGTAGTAACTCTTAGATGACGCAACAGCCGATGACTGCGACGTGAAGGCGAGTATAAAAGAGTATGCTGAAGACAGCGCAGGCAGTCAGATGATGAGTTGATTGTTAATAGTCAGTTAATGAGTCGGTGAGTTGAGTAGATGAGTTATAGTCAGCTCAGCGAGATCGCGCAGTCCCGAGATGTTTCTGTAAGTAATTCAGTATACTCTGTCTTGGCATTTCCCAAACTGTTTCCTCGTATTTATTACATTTGTGTTTTTATTTAATAAATAGACCTTTTTTATAATTGTTTTCTTAATCTAAAGAGAGAACCTGGAATTTACGTGACCGTAGCCAAAATTCCCAAAGTTATAGATCGCGACAATAATAGATAGATTAGACGCTTAGAAAGCTTATTTTATAACAAAAACCTAAAATTTGATTTTTTGTTGGTGATTTTGCCGAGTTACTGGTTTAGTTGTGTGGGATATTATTCTCAAATTAAGTAGATCAACTGCTACAGTACGAGTGTGATGTTTATCAGCATTTTCAGTTTTTTTGGTTATTATATTTTCAGTTTCAATTTGGAAATGAATACAATGGGCTCTTTCACTATATTTTGGAATTAGCATAATTGAATAAAGCAATTAATTCTAAAATTTTCTGATATCTCACTTTCGAAAAATTTGAAGTCGTTCTTAAGAAAATAAATAAAAACAAAAAAGCCCAGAATAAAAATCCGCACTTTATTTTTAATACGTCACACCTGGCATGTTGAAAAGCGGCAACACGGCCGCGGCCGGGCCACCATGCTGACCCACCAAAGCACAACAAACTAGAGATAATTAATTATTTCTGGTATGCAATCGGAACGAGAAACCACTTCCGGCTTTACAGGTTAAAGGTAAACAATTTAATAATGCGCTACCTTCGCCGCCATATTTGCCTTGCCCATATCATGTTGATTGGCCTTGAGTTGAGGTGGTGCTGCTAATGATAGAAAATCCGTATTATTAACGTACTGTACCCAAAATCCGTATATCTACGGATTAATCCGTAGTTCTGGCACACTGTCTCCAGCAACCATTCGCTCTGTCTACTAAAAGCAGAACTACGGTACAGCATTCTTTATTTCTGCGACGTGAACGACTATCAGCGCGCAGCGGCGCAGAGTTAACCTAAATCTCAGACAGGCTGACGGTAACGCCACCTACAACTCGGACATGTTTTGTGCCACGAAATCGCCCAAAAGGTTGCGCATCTTCTTATTTCTTCAATCAACAATTCTAGGGTATTAGGTCACGTCAGTTGAGTCACCTAAAAGTCAGTGCTATTAAAGGAAATTATTCATTAAAAAAAAAAACATAAAATGTAAGCGATAAGTACTGAAAATCTAATTCGGATTAAAGTTCTGGAGAAATCTAACAATACTATACAGGGCAGTTCATATCATCAGGACGGCAAAAAAAAATAAAAAGATTACCAGACTTATCAGTGGCGCATCTAGATGACTGAGTTTGGGAGGGGTAGTAGCAATATTTAAATAAAGTACTAAGTAAATTTAAATTAAATTTTCGCCGAAGGTATTGTGACTGTAGAATAAATAAACTTGGATTAGTCCCTATTTACTATGCGACATATATGTCTTCTTATGTGAGAATTTTATTTTATGTTATTTATCAATAATTTCTTTCTTGGGGGGTAATTACCAATCCTCCCATATATGCGCTCCTGAGACTTATTACTGTAAAGGCGTGTTTTACGATGCAGTATGAAATGAAATCATTTAGATACATGTATAATTTTTGTACTAACCTGTTAGGATCACATACACCGCAGACCACGAGTACGAGAACGAAGCCCAAGAAAAATTCGAAACCAAATCCTTGAAGAGCCGTCAAAGTGGGATTTAAGGCAGTATTTCCCAGTCCAGCGTAGTGGTAGATTTCAGGCAGAAGAGCCTAAAACATGACACAATAAATTATTAAAAAAAGGTTTTAATCAAGCTTAAAAGTCAGACAAATCTCTCAAAAGGCGCATATTTTTTAATTCATCAAACTAATGTTTGAAGTATACAGTATGTTTCCGGATTGTCCTTTACAAGAGGAAAAACTTTTTTATTATTGATATTTTGAGAAAAATGCATTCTTCATAAAATTGTTTGCTTGTTCTAAAATTGTTAATCTCGTTTATACTTATCCGAATTTCCATACCGTTTCAGAAAAAATTAAAACAAACATTAAAATATGGTTGAATTTCTTTAAACTTCCTGTTTCACCGGAAATGACTACAACTTTTGATTTTTAAATGACACCCCCGGTATGTTTTTACATTATTCGATAGAAACTGACACTCTGAATAGAATGACATATCATATATCAATTTTTGACATTTTCGCATGTGGTTTACCTATTTGAAATTGTAACATTTGGTTCATAACGACAATTTGAGTCGAAATATCAAGTGTGCGGTACCAAATTACTTGTAAAAAATGCTTTTTCTAAATATGCTAATGAGCCATCCTTGTTCCATTTGAAATAATTGAGATATGATTAAAAATACGATTTGGGCATCTTATAATGGGCCCGGACAAGACACGAAAATCATTAGATGATCAAATCTATTTTTCCAAGGCCCCTTGATTAAAAATTAGTGTTTTTAACACATCCATGGCACTCTAGATTGAAATTTAAAATACGATTTTTTTAAGTGGAAATATCAAAAGTTGATATAGGATATGTCATTCTATTCAGAGTATCATTTTCTATCGAATAAAGTAGAAATATACCGGGGGTGCCATTTAAAAATCGAAAGTTGTAGTAATTTCCGGTGAAACAGAAAGTGACCAAAAACAATTGAATACCTCAATCAATTCTAATTTATATCATATATTAACATGTCAAATCTCGTTTTTTTTATCTAAAAAAACAAAAGTTGTAGGGGTGAGCTAGTTTTGAGACGCACCCGGTATAGGATGAGTCTAAAATAAGTGCAAATATTTTTAGGGGTAGTATATTTCGACCCCAGAAACACGATTAAATGAGGTTTTTTTTGCGAAAAAAATTTTTTTCAAAAAATTCCAAACTTTGAAAATTCCAAATTGGAAATTTCTTTAGATTTTAGTTTGGTTTGGTTTGGTTTCTTGACGAGTGCCTACTACGTTTCTATACGCAAAATATAAAAGACAACCCTCGTATGACACGTGTTTATATAAACTTTTTAGCTGAAGAATGTTCTTTTAAAATTTTTATTTTTACGGTCGTTACAATCGAATTACTCTGTATATCGTAATTAATCAACTTAATTAGCTAGCGTTAGCCAACATCGTAGAATAAAAAATGACATAGCAAAATGGTTATACAAAAGACTATAGGTGCAATTAAATCGATTCATATCCTTTGTCTTTAGTTCCATTAATTTTTTTTAAAACAAAACAATACCGATCTTTTCTTTCTAATACTCTAACTAAAAATTAAAGTTATGTTTTGTTCTTTTGTTATTAAAAATATATTTTTTTGTGCCATTTTTGCTAATTAATGATATCCAGAATGGTAGAATTAGAATAATTTAGTTGTACCTCTATTTCGTTTTTTCTTTAAAATATAATAATTAAATTTTAGTTTACCCTGATGTAAAATTTCTAAGGTTTATTTGGAAAATGTGCAAATTAAACTACATTAAAAATGTACAAATTAAAAAATAAAACTAAAAAAAATTAAGAAAAAGATATTGAAGGTAAAATATTTTCTTGAATCACGAGAATAAGTACACCATTTAAAAATAAGTTTTACTCAATATTCATGTGGTAACTCTGCTGTAAAAAATATCAAGTTGCCACATTTATTTATTTATTTCCTGACTTTCCGTCATTCGTTTTGACATTTTAGTTTTGTATTACGAGTTTTTGGTTTAAATAAATAGTGTTGTGATACTTTAAGCTTAAAAATGTTTACTAGCAGACCTTGCAGTCGAACATTGTTCTTTTTAAAACCTCTTTTAGTGCGAAATGTACAAGACAGCTTAATAGCCGTAAAAAACTCATCGCAACTTTATTAGAATATTTTGAACGGGAAAGCGGTAGAAATGGCCCTTTATGTCTCTTAAGTGCTGTTAAGAAGGTGAGTTTAGTTGATGTAAATAATAACTGTTTATATATTAATAATTAATTTATTTTTCTTACCTAAAATAATTTGATTAAAAGAAAATATGTAAAATTAGGCAACGCTGTGCCGGTCAAGTTTAATCACGCGACTAAAAGTTTATTTGATATGAACTATATATAGATATATTATAAACTATGATATGAAAAGGGGGAGAAATATACCTTAAGAGTGCCAGATCCTGCTAAGGCACCGATACACTGTACTACAATATATAGTAAGCTTTTGATCAGGTTGATTTTACAAACTGAAAAAAGTCCAACTGTCACAGCAGGATTGAAATGTGCTCCACTGACATGGCCTAGAGCCTAAAAAAAAGAAAAAAGTATTAAAATATGAATAAACATAATAAACAATTTCACAAAACAAATTATTCAATATAAAAAGAAATTAATACGAAAAAGAAACTAATGAATGAAACAAAATTATGAATAATTGAATTCTATGCACGTTTTTGGTGAATATGTCGACACTAATTTAGCATTAAAATATGTCACACCTATAGTAACTTTTACCCTCAAAATTACATTCGAATTGCTAGAAGCACATGGAAGAAAATTATACTTAATCGAAAAAAATAAATAAAAGCGAAACAAAGCAGAATCAAATATATTCAACTATTCTTCTTTTCGATGTTTGAGAATGGTTTGACTGACAAATTATTTACTGTCTCGTGTTCTATTGACAAGGACATCTAGAAAAGACAAGACAGACAGAAACTTTTGTCTTTCTGAATCGTAAATTTGATAGAGCTATTTATCTAAATTTAAAACATATTATGACATATAATTTCGATTTCATTTTGCTGCAAACAGAAAGGAAGGTAGCTCTAATAACGTTGCCATATTATGTTCTATTATATAGACGGCCTAATTTTAAACGGTAACTAAGTTAAAAATCTCGTTTTCGTGAAAAGTGGAGCTGCCTGGTTATTACAGCCACTACTTCAATTGTGTCTAATAAACTTATTTTGGTTTCAAAAATACATAGTATAATAGTTCTATGTCCATGGAATATTGAGATGCCCTGTATATTTTGTTTAAAATTATATGAGAACGTTTAGTTTAGTAAAAATTATATGCTTTTTTTTCTTTAATAAAATAGATACTATAGTCTATAAAATGAATAACTTTGAATTTTGACCGTTATTTTTTACCAACATGTTAAATATAAAATCCCTCTGTCAAAAAAATTACTGATATTCTTTAAACTGAGTGCCTGAACGAATCAGATAGGTAACTTTTTTACTTTCGTGAAATAGAAAAGGAAAATAATAAAACAAGTGACAGTTCTTCCTCTTCTTGCAAAAATCAACACAAAATGTCATAATTGCCAAAAGTAAAATGTCATCAGCTTTTGACATTTCTAAATATCAGACCAATGCCGTCGCTAATAGAACAGCCTCGGAGCGAGATTGATGACGTCACGCTGGTTAGATACTACGGATTAATAAATATGTTGTAGAATACATGGAAAACATGTATTCATGATACATTGTTATTGATACATGTTCATTCATAAACATTGTATTTTAAAAATGATATAAAATATACATAATATACAGGTAATAAATACAATACATATACCTATTTATACTAATAAATCCTTTGGCAAATAAATTATGAACCACACAAATACAGCAAATGTTTTAAAATATACAAATAATGAATAGGTACTAATAAATGGATAAAATGTAAAATATATTTTAAATTTTGGGGTTTGAAAATCGATCTAATTTAACAAAAAAACACAAAATTTATATGTATATTTTGCAAGTATCAATGTTCGAAAAATTATATTTGCAAATAATACAATATCATAGAAAAAAAGGCGTCAGCGATGGCTATGAAATAAAGATCGCTGTCATTTTATATGTAAAATTATTCTAAAATTTTTGATTTTCTTGGTATTTAGGTTCGGGAAAAACGCTGATTAAGTTTTTATTTGGTTTTTCATTATTTTTATTTGGTAAAAAAAAACGTTTCGGGTAACATTATAGCCTTCATCAGTGTTGTGTCATATGAAAAAAATAGTGTCGAATATAATCCAAAAAATTACATATAAAATATTCACACCACACACCACATAATGTTTACTACAATTAATAAACTAATATAAACTTGTCAAAAGATGACCACATGTTTTTTTTAAATTATTTAACACTAAAACTATCTACATTGACTATGGAGTGCGATTTCGGCCATAGTCAAGTGAGGCTGTTCTATTAGAGACGGCATTGCGTCAGCATGGCCACAAGTTGCTAACCTAATAAAATTAACACTAGAAAAGCCCGCGGGAACTGTCAAATTCAAAGTTATTTGCTTCACAGACTATACAAAATAAGTATCATACCATTAATAACAAAAAGGCTATCATATACAGCTGAGTATTGACAACTGATGATAGTTTTGGCGAGGTCAAGCTCGAGACGTCATTTACTTGGTCCGGAGTCTTCTTTATTTTTTTTAATTTCGCTTACTGCTAATTGGCCCTAAGAAAGTTATTTAAAAAAAATTGTGTGCGCATGATGTGAAACTTCTTCTTACTTCCGTCTGTCTGTCTGTCCGTCTGAAGACCCATAATTTAGAAAAATCCTGAAAATTCGCTCCATTTAGAGGTATCAGTTCGAAACGCCGAGGGCGTTATCCTGTAGCCCCTCCCCAATTATACCGAAATCGACCTACATTTTTCTTCAATATCAAATTGTTAGTCCCACCCTGATTAAAATGCAAACGAAACGTCGTATCCAACTTTGCAGGGTGGGACTGTGTGCACTAGAGATGAGCAAAACTGCGATTCTCCATTCGCAATTGAAACTGCGATTGCGATTTTTAAATCGCAGCGACTGTAACCTGCGATTGCGATTTTCATATTTAAATATTGTACTAGGTATATCATTGTCTGCGTATGTCTGCGTATATCTGTTACGGTTAAGGTACGATGTCCGGTTAATGTCGACATTAACATGTTAATGTTTGGGTTAGGTTATGTTTTTGGTTGTTTTGTTGCGTGTTATTCTCGAGATTAACCGGGTAATGTCGACATTAACCCGACATCGGACTTTAACCGTAACATATCTATAACTCAACTATGATTTTATACGTTCTGTAGCATCCCTGTGACGTAGTTGCAGCTTCGCTCCTATTGGTCAAAAAGTTACGAGGCAACCTGTTTAATATAGTAGCCTTGTCGTACACGGTCAAGTTGGCTTTGGTCCAATATATCGTCCTACCAAATTTCATTTAAATCGGACGATTTTTTTAATTGATTCATTGATGATGGGGTTACGTAGTGCACGAAACGTTGTCAAAATATCAAGAAAAGATCTACATTTCTGGTTTGAACCGCCTATATCACATACAGCCCGTGTTAGGACGCTCTGTCGTAACCTCCAATCGTTACCACTTTTCTTGTCGCGTCTCGTGTGTCACAGCCTTCAATTTTTATCCCATCGCGCGTAAAGAAGTTTCACTTCAAAAATAATTATTTGGAAATATATTTGTGTGTCTGGAAAACGTCTATCCTTCTTTAATCTTTGTGTAATTAGTGTTTATTATTGTGTAAAGTTTTATGTCAATTTTTAGTAAACGGCGTCTAGTGATTGACCACGCTAAAATTATCATCGACTGTCATTCCCCAGCCATCTTTGACGCTGTTTTTTTTGGATCAAACGGTACTTCTTATCTTTCTCTTAAATAAAACTTTTTCTTAAAAACTCTCTCTTAAAAAACAAAATAAATAAATAAATGCCTTTATTGTCAAAAAATTCTTTCCTAAAAAAAGAACTGGTAAATGAGTTACCTGTACTCCTATAAAAATAATCAGTCCAAAAGTGAGCGCTACGAAGACGAAATTTGGTCTGGCACCTTCGGCGGTACTCTGCATTATCACCACCGATCCGCATCCGAAGAAATTCAACAGGAAATTGCCCAAAAATTCGGCAAGGAGAGCTTTCAACAGTTGGCTGACCGCCTTTGATGACGAAACGTCGTTTAGGCCCAAAACTTCCTTAGCATTGCCCATTGTGTACGATCACAAACCTGTAAATACGGAAATATATTATTAGATTATTACAAAGAATATATCTAGCTAGAAAGATTATTATTCTTAATTGTAAAGCCAAATATGACAGTCAAATTGACATTATGTAGTTTGATTCAAAGGTTTGATTGTTGGTTTTGCAACAATAAAAGAACTATTTGAAATATTAAGTGTTATAGGTATTTTACGTTTTTCATCTGTCCCACGAGAGAATATACAGGGTATATAGAAAGGGCGATTTTCACAAATCTATGGGTGTATTACCTTGGTTATGGTTTTATGTTCCGTCGGTTTCCTGAAAGTTTTCTTATTACGGAACACAGTTCCTGAAAAATTCGGTTATAACTGTCACCAAACTAACCAGCGCAGCGTGAGAAGGCTGGTTTTTCTAGTTTTGTTTGTCAATCCATGTCATTTATGTGACAGAAATCAAGCAAATATTGGAAGTTCGAGTGAAATTTTCTTTTAATTTCTAAAATGTATTATAATATTTTGTATTTACATCCAAAAGCAATGGAGGTAGGCAGTAAAGGTAAATACATTTCATTAACTAAACAGAATGATTTTTTAGAACCATTTAAACTTATCATGCAGTCATTGTTTCTTAAAGTCAGTAGCATTTAAAGAAAACATGAAAAACAAGACAACAAGTAATCATGAATGTTTTGTAAGCCATAAAAATATAAATATTGATTAGATTTGTTTATTTATTATTGATCGTTTTAATATTGGAGCTGCAAATCTTCACTTGAGCTATTTAACGAGTTTAACAGTTTATTAATAAAGTACTTTTCAATAATAAACTCCATTGAAAAGAAGAAGCAAACGTAAAAGCAGAGAATATATATATATATATATATATATATATATATATATATATATATATATATATATATATATATATATATATATATATATATATATATATATATATATATATATATATATATATACGAGAAATATGCTTGACTAAATCTGCTTGGTATAGAGATGCAAAATATCACTTTCCGGTTTTGTAAAGTGTTCTATGCTATGATTGTCATTAAACGATTTTAATATGGAAGGATAATATAAAATGTTCTTTAAATGAAAGAAAAAGCTTAGAAAATCCTTCTAATAATGGAACGAATTCACGAAGAATTCGACGAACAATAAAAAATTGCCAAGAACAATTTACGTTTGAAATAAAATGGCGTGTGTCATTATGATATACAGGGTATTTAAAAAAATGTGCAAACATAGGTTCGATTCTGTTTTGTTTCGTAGCTACAGGGGGTTAGGGTTAAAGTGCTCATCTTTTTTCGATTCATTATAATTTTCTTCCAAGTGATTTTAGTGATTCAAATGAAATTTTGAGGGTAAAAGTTATTAAAAGTGCTAATTATTTTAATGCTAAAAAAGTGTCGACAGATTCATCAGGGACGTGCATATGGGTTATCACTGGAATATTTTACTGAACTTTTTTTATCTTGTCAGCAAAATTGTGTAGGCCTACTGTATCTATAAGGATAAAAGAAGTACCACCAGTAGTACTCTCCACTAGAGGTGTGTAGTTCGTGAACGAACTAGTTCCAATGAACTATTCCGACCCCGGAATGAAAGGAACTAGTTCTTGGTTTCTCAAAGAACTAGTTCCTCAGGACCTATTCCGGGATCGAGACTGTGACAGATATAATAATATGCGACGGCGATGGATCGGCCAGCGCGCGTAGCCCGATGGTAGGCAGGAGTGGGGAGTGCCAGTCGTCCGTTATCGGATCCGGACCTAGAAGAACTAAATAAAAGACCAGGAGCCAGGATCGATGCGCGATCGATGCTAGGCAGGAGTGGGGAGTGCCAGCCGTATGTTATCGGATCCGGACTTAAAGGAACTAGAGGAACTAAATAAAAGACTAGTTTACGTATGGATCAGCCAGCGCGATTGATGTTAGGCAGGTGTGGGGAGTGCCAGCCGTATGTTATCGGATCCTGACATAGAGGAACTAATTATAAGACTACTTCACGGGAATCTATTCAGTCGGCAGATCCGAGATATAATACAAGGCGACGACGATGGATTCGGCGTTGTCTATTGCCACGGCCGGCGTAATTACCACAGAAAATTGTCGTGGATACTGTTTTTGATTTTTAGTTAATATTTTACGGGAATGTTTCACTTTAGGTCCCTAAAATTAAGAAATATCTTATAAAACGAAGTAGATATTCTGAATTTTTGTGAGGAAAAATGCAATTTTTCGTAAAATTTTTGTAATATTTGCTCCAATTGATTTGTGATATAGTTTTTTAAACTCTGATTTGAGTTTCTTTTTTATTTTTTTTATCTGCAATAAAACTTACCTACATGTTTTTAGCATACACAATTATACGTCTCGTTATATCTCCGTACATTATAAAAATTATACAGATCATAACGTGAATAGTTCTGACTGACAACGAAACGCATTATCAAGCAAGGGGGATGTCAATGTTAGTAGGGAACTATTGTGAACTAAAGACCTAGTTCAAGGAACTATTCGTCTAGAGGAACTAGAACTAAGGAACTAGTTCCTCCCAAGGACTAGAATTCCCACCTCTACTCTCCACCCCAATGGAAAGTACCCTCTCCGGGCTGTTACAAAATTTTTCATAATCTCCATTCGCTTTGGCACTAAAATGTGTGTAAAAGTACCAAATTTCAGGAAAATTGGTTTACCAATATGTTCTTAAAAATAAACAAAATATACTATCTTTATTTAACCTTTCGAGCGCTGTAATTTCTTCGGGAGGCTTTTTAGAGCATATGTTCATAGGAACTTTTTGTATTATTTTATCTGTAGAATCACCCACTAAAGTTAGATACACTATTTTTTGACACACTGTATATTATGGCTTTGAAAGTGCATTTGATTATTTGTATTCATTTATAATATTTGCACGAAAGCATTGTTAATGGTAAGGAGATTGTTTCTCAGATGCATAAAAATATCTTATTATTAAAATTCCCGTAGCATATGATGAGTTTTTTGTAGTAAACATAAAATCTACATCGTAAAATTGTCACATTTGTATGGAATATAGAAAACATATTGAAAGTAATACTACCTACTAAAACTATTTTATTGTTTCTCTTTTTTATGACCGTGGTGTATTAAATAAATCGTAAATAAATGAATAAATCGTCCTATTGCTGCCAATGGTCACTACCCAACATTTGTTCGAATAACCTGAAAATTCAATCGGTCGGTGGTCCGAACTGTATTCCGGAAACTTTGGCGGCATATTCTGCAGATAAAAATAACTAAAAAAGTTTGTATAAATGTATGTCCTAAAATTATTAGTTTCGGGGATACAGGGTGTAAAAGTTTCATTTTTATTTCGATTTTTTTCAAATAATTTCTGAAGTAACATTAATATTTGGATGAAAATTGGTGTCTGATCAAAATTTGATTTTGATGTCAATATGACTCATATTTGTAGGAGGCGCCACTTACACATGCTTTAACTTTAACTGTTTTGAAGAGTTAATAACTTTTCGTCCGTACCTGTATAAAACTACTGAGTGAAAAAATATACATTTCCGTGATTTTTGACGTAAAGAATGTCCCTTAGTAAAAATCGCTACGAGCAACCGTTCTCAAGATATGTAGGATGGAAATAGTCAATACATGTCATTATTGACAAAAAATAAAATTATGTTTATCTATCTACTCAATATAATATTATTATATTGAGTAGATAGTTATTTGACTGAAATGGGAAATTTGGAAAATTTTAATTTTTTTAAATTAATCATAAATTTTTCTTCGAAAAAATGATGATAAAACAGTTTTTGTGGAACCTTTGACACAAAAACATTTCAAATTGATGATCGGTCTAATAATTACACATTTAGTCGACATGTTTAATTTATGTCAATGATGACAGGTATTGATAATTTCGATTTCAAATATCTCGAGAACCATTACGCGTAGCGATTTTTACCAAAAGACCTTTTTTACGTAAAAAGAGTCGTAAATGCATATTTTTTTTACTCAGTAGTCTTATACAGGTACGGACAAAAAGTTGTTACTCTTCAAACCAGTTAAAAAACATGTAGGTGGCGCGCTCTACAAGTAGGAGCGCTCTACAAGTCATATTGACATCAAAATCAAATTTCTCATGTCAAAAAACTCCCAGACACCAATTTTCACTTATAATATCTCAAGAGCTTAAATTATTTTCGGAAATTTTTTTGAGGGCACGAATATTTTGAAAATCATCCCGAGTCGAAGACGAGGGATAATTTTCCTAAAATATTCGTGCCCGAAAGAAAATTTCCAGGAATAATTTAAGCTTGCGTGGTATTCGGTAAGAAAATTTCACACCTAAATTTGAAAAAAAAAATATTAATCCAACATGACATTTTAAAATAATTTCAATTTGTTAATAATATTAACAAATATTATTATATTTTTAATTAGTTACATCAAATGCTAAAACTCAAATGGGTAATATTTCAATATATAGACATTGTAGTTCATTCACATTATGATTGTAGATCTTATGTTTACCTTTTCAACTGTCAAAAAATTTCCACTAAAGTTTCGTGGCGCCTCGAAAAAATTTCCGGAAATTTTTTCAGTTGCCATGGTAACTAGTCAACATTAAAGCATGTTATTGGTTGAAAAGTAGAGGTGTGAAATTTTCATCCAAATATTATTATTACTTCAGGAATCATTTGGAAAAAATCAAAATAAAAATGAAACTTCTACACCTTGTTCAGAAACTAAGCATTTTAGGACATACATTTATACGAACTTTTTTACTTATTTTTATCTGCAGAATATGCTGCCGAAGTTTCCAGAATACAGTTCGGACCACCCTCTGTATTGAAGCCGAGAATCTATTGAAAAATTTATTAACTACGATTTCTGGCCATTTATGCTGGATTTTAATACCGAATACTTAGTCACTAACAAAAACTTTATGCAATGCAATAATCTTTAGACGCATTTTTCTCGGAAGTAATAAAAAGTAAGTT